CCGGATGCTGTGCAGACTGACACGATTGGATACTGGAGACTTCGAGGGCACGCGGGCCCCCTCCCCGGGCCCCAGCCTCAGACTGGGCGGAGGAGCATCTGGCAGCACCCCTGCTGAGCCCCTCTGGCTAGGGGCAAGGAGACTCCCTCCCCTCTGGGAGGCTCAGGGCTGGGGAGTGGCCATGGGCTGCCTTTCTGCCTTGTGTCCAGAGGTCTGCAGGGCCGCCTTCTCTTTTCTGTGTCCGTGCCACTTTGCGGGCTTCAAGGGGCTTACCCTGCGGTCACCTTACCTGGGAGTTGCTTCTTGAAGAAGCTCAGAGAACAGCCATTTGTCCCTCCCCTCCCCCAGGAAGCTGTCCCCTAATTTATGGAGGTAAGAAGTGGCCAGTAGGAGATTGGATTGTGGGCCCAAGGGAAGCAGCAGGGACAGGGAGAAGCCCGCCCCCCTGACGGTGGGACTTGGAGCAAATCCCTGCATCTCTGAGCCTCAGTGTTCCTCATCTGGAGAATGGGTCTCAGAACTGCCTAAGTTGACTTTATAGAATGCTACACGTGACGTGGATTTGACTTATGTACATTTGAAAGAGGACGATAATACTTTGAAGGTGGTAAACGCCGCTTTAAAGAAAAAATTGTCGAGACTTCTTATTTCACAGCCAGCAGACAGAGGGACCAGAGAACCGTGTGTATGCTGTGGCCACATGGTGGCGCCCAGGTAGCTGGTAAACAGGCCGGCCAGGAAGGCCTGAGGCCGCGTTGTACTGGCCTCTTGCTGAGTATTGCAATTGAAAGTCGTGAGGTCTGTGAGTTTGTTAAGTGGAGACACTTGTTAGTCCCGATACTGGGACCTGCCCCTAACCCGAACCAGTTGCTTTAGAATGGAAAGTGAGTGTTTATCAAATGCTCTGGGGAAAACAGAACTGCTGGGTACTCGATCGCATTGGTTTACAAGACAGGAGGCTATGAACTATTGGCCATGATGCTAGGAAGTAAAAAGTGTCTTTAAAGCTAATATATGTACTGTGGTTCTGCCTTACGGTCTCCAAGAGCTCTGGCTCTTTGCAATACAGTTACTACTCCAGAGAGAATAGGCTGCGGTTTTGTGGGCTGTGAATTATGTGACGTCTTTAGAAGCAACACCCTCAGTTGCTAGGCTCCTAGTTGGCTCAGTCAGTTAAGCGTCCAACTTCGGCTCAGGTCATGATCTCACCATTCATGGGGGTTTGAGTCCCGCGTTGGGCTCTGTGCTGACAGCTCAAAGCCTGGAGCCTGCTTCTGTGTCTCCCTCTCTCTCTCTCTCGGCCCCTCCCTGACTCATGCTCTTTCTCTGTCTCAAAAATAAATAAACATTAAAAAAAAAAGAAAAAGAAGGAGAAGAAGAAGCAAGACGCTCTCGTAACATGTGGCCTGGTATCAGTGGGCATCATTGATGCCCTTTAGGTGCCCTTGGGCGATGGTCCCTTCCCTGGGCTCACTTTCATCAGGCACTAGCTGCTGTCCCCGGGACTGGTGTGGTCTGAGAGGTCATCATGCCTCCCTGGGTAGCTCATGGTTGGTGGCCGTGCGCCAATAGATGTGGGGCAGGCACGTGACAGGGAGGACCGTCTGTGGGGAGGGGCCACGAAGCCAGGCTGAGGGAGGTATGTCCTAGCAGCCCGGCACGGCCCTCGCTAAACCCCATCTGCTGCCTGGGCTCTTGGTGGCCCTCTCCGTGGGTGCCCGCCCTGTACTCGTGGGGCCCACAGCATGACAGATGCATCTCTTGCAGGTGGTGAGAAGCTACAAGGCAACCATCCAGCAGACCTTGGACATCCTCTTCCTCCAGGAAGGCTCTGAGTTTCTGAGCAGCACGGACGCTTCGAGCCGGGACTCTGCTGACCGCACCATTATTGCCTGGGATTTCCGGAGCTCTGCCAAAATCTCCAACCAGATTTTCCACGTGAGAAACCTTATGTGGCATTGCTCTTCAGTTTGCTTCAGCTGTAGGCTGTGTCTAAGTAGCCCTCGGCTGTCTGGGATCCCAGATCACTTCCTGTGGGAGATGGTTCAGCAGGCAGGCTCTTTAGAGATCGTCCAGGTGCCTGAAATCCCTGGGGTGGGGGTAGACGAGTGCAGAAAACAGCACCTCCATACTTCTCCTACGTGTCCCTTGCCCGGCATGGCCACCCCACAGGGGAAGGGTGTGGAGGGGCCCCCCGTCCGGATCGATGGAGGACAGCCACACAGCCCACGCGCTCCTGCCTTCCCTCCACCACCCCATCCAGCCCACACGGGTTTCCACCCCACCTTTGTTCAGTGCTTTGGGCAGGAACTGTGACTTGGAAGTTCAAGCCGCGACCTGAGGCTAGATCTGGTGTTAAAGTCCTGGATTCACCACTCACAAGCCCTGGGCCCATTATTTAGCCTTTTTGATTCTTGTTTTCCTCTTAGGAAATTGAGGATGAGAATATATTTACCTCATAGAGTGGTTTTGAGAATTGAAGGAAATAACACTTATAAAGGATCTAGCACAGTGCCAGACCCAGGAGGAGGTGCTCCATAAACGCGTTACCTATTGTCACCATCACCACCATCGTCATTAACATCGTCACCATCGCCATCACCACCCTCATCACCACCACTATCATCCCCACCATAACCGTCACCATCCCCACCATCACCGTCATCATCATCACTGTCACCATCACCACCCTCATCAGCATCACATTCATCACCATCATCACCATCATCATCATCATCAGCATCACCATCACCACCCTCATCACCATCACATTCATCACCATCATCATCATCATCACCACCACCACCACCACCACCACCATCACCACCATCATCGCCATTACGATCACCATCACCTTTTAAGACTTCAAATAAGCCGTAGCTAATCTCTTCGGTGCTCCCCCCGCCAAATTATAAAATATGTGTTAGGCGTACATACGTACCTTCCCCCCATCCCCGCATTTCCTCTTCTCGGAGGGTTCTAAGTGATCCTGCGCACACCAGCCTCCAGACCTTCACTGCAGGGTCCTGGTGCAACCCGGGGAGAAGCACCAGCTCCGGGAGGGGGCTGCGTGGGCGTGTCTGGCCACTCTGGCCTTCCGCGTCCAACAGCCCGTGCAGAACAGGCACCCAGGGGAGGTGGATGGGAGTGCCACATGGCAGGCCACTGACCCTCCTACAGACCGCACCCACTCACTTTCTGCGTGGGGAGCAGGTGCTGTGCTCGCAGAGCATGCCATGGAACTTGTTCCCCGGTCAGCGTGGCCTCTGAGCCTCTGAGGGACACAGAGTGTGCAGCTGTGTTCCAGCTGCCCCCACTTTGCTCTCTGAGGTAGGCTCCTGTAGACAGTGTGGCCTCAGGACAACACTTGGAATAAAGCAAAGGCCAGATGCCGTGGAGAAGGGAGCTGCTAGGGGCGCTTCCATGTGATGCAGCCCGTCAGACGGTGACAGCTCCTTGCCTTGTGCTTTGAACACTTTGCTCACGCCTTTGTCTTCTCCCCGGCCGTCCACCTTCCCAGCTACTGTGCGTGTGGGCTGCGACGGGGGCCTGGGCCGGGCTGGGGCTTCCCCGAGAGCTCACCGTGGAGGTGGGGCGGGGGCAGGCGGGCATGCGGACTTCTTTCCCGGCGCTGCGTGGCAAAGTACCGCGGTCGCTGGCTTCAAAACGAACACGTTCTCTCTCTCCGTCCTGGAGGCCAGATGTCTGTGATCGTTCTCCCTGGGCTGAAATCGAGGTTTTGTCAGGGCGCACTGCTTCTGGAGGCTCGGGGGGAGTCTGCCCCCTCTTCCTCACGCTGGCCTCTTCAGACCCCTGCCACTGTATCTGTGAGTGTGATTGGCCGCCTCCCTTTACAAGGACACACATGAGTGCACTTAGGGCGGTAATAGAGGATGACATCCCCACCTCAAGATGCTTGACTTAATTATATCCTCAAAGACACCCCCTCCGCCCTTTTGCCATATAAGGTGACATTCACCGGTCCCAGGAATCCGCTACGTGGATGGGAGTGTGGGGGTCATTTTTCCGTCCACCACTAGGGCCGTGAACCAAGGGGTGCCAGTAAGGATAGGAAAACAGATTACCCCCCCCAGAGCCTCCAGAAGGAACACGGCTCTGCTGACACCTTGATGTTAGCCCAGGGAGACCCATGGCAGACGCCTGACCTCCTGGACTCTAAGAGAATAAATGTATGTAGTTTTAAGCCACCGAGTTTGTGGCATCTTGTTAAGCAGCCGCAGGAAAGCCGTGCAGACCTCTAAGGCCAGGCCTGGGGGTGGGGCCCAAGGCTCCAGGAGCAGGGCGCTGGGTGACGTGTCTGGCGGAGGCAGAAGGCCCAGCTGGGGCCTTTTTCCTGCCTCCCTGTGGCCTCACGTCTTTCAGGAGAGATACACCTGCCCCAGCCTCGCCTCGCATCCGCGGGAGCCCGTGTTCCTGGCACAGACCAACGGCAACTACCTGGCCCTCTTTTCCGCCGTGTGGCCCTACCGGATGAGCAGAAGGCGGCGCTACGAAGGACACAAGGTACTCTGTTCCTCTGCCCCGGGTTAAAACGGAGCACCGGCCCCAGAGCCTCCTCCAGACGACAGCAGCGGTGGACTTGGGGCCCCGGAGCGCACAGACCTTCTTTCTGGGAGGATTCTGTTTTCCGTTTCGCAGGTGCCCACGTGCCACGTGGCCTGGTGGTCCCCAAAGGCCCTGGGCCACATCTGGCCCTGCCCCCAGTCCCCAGGGGCCGGGCAGGAATGATTTTCCCCGACTTGTGGGCTCAATGGGGGCATGTCATGGGGGTGAGGGAGGGAGCACAGGACAGAACAGGGGAGGGGGCCTTTTCTGCCTCTATCCCCTTTCCCCACTGAGGCCTGCCTCACTGGGGCGGACGGGGCCGGGGACCTGGTGGCTGTTGGCGAGGCCAGGCACCGTCAGCTATGCTGAAGCCGTTCTAGCTGCGTTCCACTAAACTCCGTGAGACCAGATCCACGCTGGGACGCCGGCTTTCCGGCAGGAGCTCGGGCCTTGGCCTTGGGGATGCTGGGTGCCCTGCTCCGAGCCTCAGGCTGCTCCTCCACGGAGTGGGCACGGCGCCCCCCGCCTCACAGGCTGCCTGGCGGAGCAGCTGCCGTGTGGCCCGCTCACCCCGTGTTGCCTTCTGCAGGTAGAAGGCTACTCAGTGGGCTGCGAGTGCTCCCCAGACGGTGACCTGCTGGTGACGGGCAGCGCCGACGGCCGAGTCCTGCTGTACAGCTTCCGTACTGCCAGCCGGGCGCGCACGCTGCAAGGGCACGCGCAGGCCTGCGTTGGTACCACCTTCCACCCTGTGCTGCCCTCTGTCCTCGCCACCTGCTCCTGGGAGGGCGACATTAAGATCTGGCACTGAGCCTCCTGGAGCAGAGCCTTCCGGATACCGGCCAGGCCCCAGGCTCCCATTCGTCCCCCAGGGGTGGGGGTGGTGTGAGTAACCAGTGAGGTCGCCTCTGTGATCGGAGCTGGGTAGAAGGGGCCTCCACCCACCCCCCCCCCCGCCAAGCCTCAGTTTCCTCATCTGTAAAATGGGGACAGAGATCTGTTTGCCTCAGGGTTGTGAGAACTGCATTAGGTGAAAGCACCTGGTGGGTGGCTGCTGATGCTCAATAAACATGAGTGTTTTGCTGTTTCTTAGGGTATTTCAGTGACAGATATGTACAGGCAGCTTCGTGGCACCTTCCCACTCCCAGGCCCTCTGGGGCTTGAGACAGAGACCAGAGGGAGCTTGAGATAGGGCAGCCCCCCTCTGCTGATCCTGACCACGGAGTCCCTGGGGGCCAGGGGCCGTGGGGGGCCACGGGGGGCTCTGGGTCTCAGGCCTGCCCTCAGGAACTCCGTGCTGGAGCACGGCAGTCCTCATCAGTGCCATGGGGCCCAGGCCCCGCCCACCCCCACCCCAAGCATGGCCCACAGAGTCCCACTGCCTGGAGGGGGTGTATACTGCTCCAGGGAAGGAGGGAGGTTCCTGAGGTGAGGAGCCCTGCGGGGTCAGGCTGGCAGGAAGAGCCAGCGCCCTGGGGGTCTAGGCAGGTAGGGGAACCCTAGCACCAAATCCCACAGGCCACTCCAAGAGCCCCAGGATCCACCGAGGGTGACGATGGGAACCGGCAGATATCACAGCTCGGGGCAGGGGCAGGGGCGTCCCCGTGCCTCAGAAGGCTTGCCAGCAGAGGCAGACTGTGAGCTGGTGAGGAGGGCATCCCCAGCAGAGCAGTCAGTGAGGAAGGGCAGAGGCCCTGAGGACGAGCCCCATGGCGGGGAGCCAAGGGAGTAGGAACCACGGGTGCCCAGCTTTGCCTCTCCAGCACCCGGCTTCTAGGCCGGCTCTGCCGTCGGTGTAGCCGACGCTTCGTGAGTCATCTCTCCTCTCTGAGCCTCAGTCTCCCCATTGTAAAGTGGTGTCGGAACCCCCAGCCTTCAGGCTTGCTGTGTGGCCCCAAGGAGGTCACGTCCGTGGTGGGTGTCCGTACACTGGGGGTTCCATTCCCTGGAAGGGGACTGGGCAGATTGGGAAGGGCATCTGGAGCTTGCAGAGGGCTGGTGCATAAATAGGTTTATTTCAGGTGTCTAACTTGCTCAGGGGTCCATGAATCGGGCCTTCCAGGCGGAGGGAAGGACAGTGCAGAGGCCCTGAGGTAGGGCTGATCCTGAGGTCCGACTCCTTTTCTAGCCTTCTCCCTGCCCCCACTGCCCCGCGCCGCATTCAGTGCAGAGCCCCCGGCAGGCAGTGGGTGTTGAGCGGATACAGCACCTGTTGTGCCTGAGCTGGGATTCAGGGAAGGCTGGGGCTGAGAGTGGGGCGGCAGGAGCTGGGGAGCTCACAGTCTTTCAGGGTGGTGAAGAATGAACCCCTGAGCTCATGCAGGACGCAGGGTCCCAGTGACTGTCTGCTCCCAGGCTCAGGTTGGAAGCGCCTTCTCTTTTTAGGCTCAGGAATGGCTGATCTGGTGAAAAGAAAGATAATCACAGCCCATGCTCAGAGGGCCTGTCCCCTGCAGAAGTGGAACCCCCTGTGGGGTGCTGTCCCTGGCCTGAGCAGAGCAGTGGGGGGAGCGGAGGCTGATCTTACATCCATTCAGATCCTTATGCCGGTGATAGACGGTCCTCCCTCACCCCTCATGTGGCTGCCCCACTGAGCCTCTCGCCCCCCCCTCTTTCTCACCGCCCACCCTCTAAATAAGTTCCCCTGCTCAGTGTGGGAAGCCCAGTGATTTTAGAAGCCTGCCCTCGGGTCACTTTCTCTGTGAAATGAAGCCTTCCCGTATCACTCTCATCGCTGATGGGCTAATGACCCCCTCCACTGTGCTCTCATGGCATGGCGCCTCAGGACCTTTGCTCCCGCCGTCCCCTCTGCTGGGTCACTACTTCCCCCAGCGCCCCCCTGGATCCCTGCCTTTCTCCTGCTGTGGGCCTTCAGGGAGCCTCCCCTGATCTCTGTGTCTAACATGCTCCAGTCATTCTCGGTCCTTTCCCCAGAGTGCTTAGCTCTGTCTGCTGTCGTCCCCCCTTCCCGACAACACGGGTACGTGCAGTGGGATGTAAACTTCACGGGGTTCGCTGCCTGCTCCCTGCTGCGCACCTGACCCCGGTCCACAGTGGGCATTCTATGAATGACTGCAGGTGTGGCCTGTTGGCAGGACACAGGCTTTGGGGTCAGACGGACGTAGACTTAAACCCTGCCATCGCCTTTCGTTGTGTGGCTGCAGAAAGTGCTGAGCCGCCCGGTGCCTCAGTTTCCCCTTCTATGAAATGAGATTGGTAGTACCCAGCTTGTGAGGATTAATGAGGCCAGGTCTGGATAGCTCTTGGCGGGGCCTGTGTGCAGGAGGCACTCAGGAAATGGCAGCAGGGAGTCTTAGTATCAGTAATAATATTAATATTAGTATCCGTCCACCACTTGACGCAGATGTGGAGCCAGTTTAGACCAGAGGGTGCAGTTTGGCCCCATTCTCAGACCTCGTCACGGCAGGCCAAGGACCGCTGGGTCCAGCCCTCTGGGCCTCGGCCTGGGCCCGGTTCCCTCTCCTTGCATAAGCCCCCAGCAAGAGGCTGCCTCCTGCCTCTGTTCCCACTTGACAAGGGTCAGGGAAGGACTCTGGTTGGCTCTCACACGCCCACCGGGACCAGGGGTCCTTGGCCAGGCGTAGCTCTCATTACGGGCTGGAGGGGAGAGTGGCGGGACCACTACAGGCGAGTTCCTAAGGGTGTGTCTCCCCAGATCCAGCCTGAACAGGCCGTCCTCCGCATGCACCTGTCAAATGAACGAGTGGTGTGTGAATGAATCCGGACGCAGGCCACGAGGCAAGGCTATACTTGTCTGCAGTGCAGGGGGGGCCTGGCTTTGCCAGAGCGCCTCTCCTCTGCCTGTGCCACCCCCACTGCCCACGGTCCAGCCCCGGATCCTGGAGCCCAGATGTCCTGCTTCCCAGCGCAGCCTGAACTGGGTGCTTCTCTGCCTTCCTTGTGTGGAGTATTTTCTGAGTGAGAAATTCAGCACATAGTTTTCTGATTGCTTTCCCCACTGGGATATGTTATTATTACCACTTTTTTTTTTTTTTTGATGTTTATTTATGTTGAGACAGAGAGAGAGAGAGAGAGAGAGAGCAGGGGAGGGGCAGAGAGAAGAAGGAAGAGAATCCCAAGCAGGCTCCACGATACCAGCACAGAACCTGACGTGGGGCTCGAACTCATGACGATGAGGTCATGACCTGAGCCGAAACCAAGAGTGGGACGCTTAACTGAGCTATCCAGGCACCTGTACCACTTTTTAAATGTGAGCGTTGTTTACAGACTATATTAAATCAGGCTTTGGTGTGAGTGCTGGTGTGGCCGTAGGATGACCTCTCTGTCCAGCAGCTGTCCGGCCCCTCTCGTGTGCTGAGCACACACCCTGGCTGCCCGCAGTCCCGTGGGGTTTAGGGCCGGGAGACCGACTCGGGCCCCAAGCCCATCACTCTTCTGCTTGGGATGTTGGTAGGCGCTCTGCTTCTCTGAGCCTCAGTTTCCTCATCTGTAAAGTGGGCCTGTAGGAACAAGCAGGGGAGAAAATGCAGAGGAAAGGGCTTGTAGATCACTACCCTCTCAACTTCCCTTGGGGCAAACACCACCCGCGTCTGTCTGAGAAGTCGGTTTCTTTTCTATGCTGCTCACCTTGAGCCAGCCGAAGCTTTGATCCCCCTGGAGCAGGGGCTCATCCAGGGCTCCCCACGAGGGCTGTTTCTTGGTGCTCTCCTCTATGGACCCGATTCCTCCACTGCGCACCCTGGGGGTGCCAGCTGGCTGCCAGCCCCTCCCTTTTGTAGGTTCTTTTATTGGGAACAATGGCAAGTGTACTCCGTGCCTTCATCTGTCTTTTTCCTAATGCTTTCTTCCAAAGCGCACCCTTAAAGGCTCACTCCGATCCTGTGCAAGGTGTTGGGGAGTTCATCACTTGCAACTTTAAAATAAGGGAGCGGCTAAATTTAGAAAATGTGGAGCGGGAATGAGAAAGCAGTGTGGGCTGTCCCCTCCACCCACCTTCCCGGGCTCCGTGCCTACCTTTACCCTCACCTACAAATCTGAGCTGCAGATCTGAAGCCTCCGTGGGAGAACGGTTTCATCTTGGGGTGCCAGCCCGTGGCTGAGTGTGCTGCCAGGCATGGCCGTGACTTTGTCCAGTGGAGTGGACGCTCCAAACCCCCCCGCCAGGTGGCCCGACCCTGCTGTCCAGCTGAGAAAACTGAGCTCAGAGGACAGTCTGAAGTCTGTGCCCTGTCCCTCTCGTGGAGACCACCGCCAGCTTAGCCTGTGCCTCCCTGTGCATGGGGACAGCCAACTGTCATGAGGACCTCTGGGAGTCTCATCAGTGTCCCTAGGCTCCAGAAGGAGAAAGTGGCCCAAGGGCACATGGCCAACGAGTGGCAGAGCCCCGCCCTGTGCTGCCCTGGTTACAGGTGGAGCAGTGTGCTGGGATTGGTAGGAGGGTGGTGGGTGCACAGGTGGGGGCCTCGCAGAGGATGGGGTGGGATTCCGAGTGGAGGGGGAGGGTGACTGGTGGAGGACGGAGCCCCACACCATGGCCTGGCTGGCTGCCTGGGTACTTGGGACTAAGGAAGTAGAGGGCGAGGCCGCATCACAGCCCGGAAGTCCCCATCTAGCAGAATGTCTGTCCGAGGACATCTGGAGGGAAACTGGTGGTCCCCAGGCTGAGCCCTCAGGGAGGTGCATGGAGGCACTCAGCCGTTTCTGGAACCCCCAGCTATCACAAGTCTGTTCCCTTTGCCTGAAATGCCTGATGAACTCCTATTCATCCTTCAGCACCCAGCATGAGCCTCCTCCTGACTGCTTGCTTTCTTCTTTCCAGAGCTGTAGGGACCTTCGCCTCTCTGGATGGCCCTGTGCTCTTGAAGCCTTGAGCCTAGTGTCATGCCATCTGCCTCCCCCCCCCAGCCTCTGACCCCTGTGGGCAGAGCAAGGTCCCTGTGGCCAGCACAGGGCTGGCCGGCTGGCCCCATCATCAGGAGGAGGAGGGAAGCACCAAGTCCCCACCCAGCAGGTTCTGAGAGAGTCACTGGCCAGAGCCAGTGGTAAGTCCCAGCATCCTGATGAGCTGGTTTTGATCTGGGGGGGCTTGGAGGGAAACCAAGTTTTCCCACCTCGGCCCCACAAAAGTGGTTTGGGACTGCTTTACATAGCATCCCATGCTGGCCCCATGGTGTCAGCCTGACCCTGCTGCTCAGAGTCATGTGATGGAGTTCTAGATACCCCACCCCCACTCTGTGTGGCCTGGTCAGCCTATCCCTGCAGGCTTCCTGGCTCTGAGGCCAAAGAAGTCACTGTCCTCACCCAGCCCTGAGCAGGGCCCCCTGGGAACAAGGCCTCCTTGGAGCCCTGGCTGTGGCTAGCTTTGGAGGCCATGGCAGGACAGCTCTGTGAGATCTGGAGGCCACCTACAGGGGGCTGCGGGCTCCGAGGTGACGGTGTGGGGGCTAAAGCACCGACTCTGAGAAGGCCCTTGGCCCAGGGATCCCCAGCCCTGATACCAGGGCCAAGACCCTGAGGAGCTGGAGCCAGGCGGGCTCGTAGCACTTAGAGGTGGGAATACCGAGGCGAGAAAGAGGCATGGGGGCCGACCAGGCTTGGGATCCCCTCTGGGAACACCCCTGAGTGGCCGCTGGGTGCCAGGGGCCTCGTGTTTCTCCCTGCACCCTCCCTGTTGCCCCCAGCCCATTCAGGGTCGTCTCCTATCTGCGCACAAGGAAACCGGGCCCCAGAGGGGAGCTGACCCCTGAGCCTCTCACGGTCTCCCCAGCTCGAGGAGACTGCTTCTTGGGGCACATATCCTGGGGAGGACAGTTGGGCTAGCCCTGGGCTCTCCCGCAGAGGCAGGTCAAATGCAGGGATGCTGGGAGCCACCGTTGATGCCCATGCTCCTGGGGTCGCCTGGCAAGAGGCAGACCCACCCCCGATTTACACGGAGCTGGGTGAGCCAGGGAACTTCAAAGCCTGCACCCGGACCCGGCTGGTCTCCAGGGGGAGGGCCCCCGCCCTTGGAAAAGGCAGACATAAAGCCCCGTGAGGAGCGGCCCCCACCCTAGGCCTTGCAGAACCCCACAAGTAGATTCTCAAGGACGTCGAGGAGCGTGCGTCTGAGGTCACCAGGCTTGTGAGGAAATGAGGCAGCAAGGGCAGGAATCGAGAGAAAACACACGACGGAGTGCCAGACCCAGTCTGAACCAGCGATGCCCACATGTTTAAGGAAATAAAAGGCGAGCTAGAAAATAATCTCCAGGGAATAGGAAACTATTGAAGCAGCAGTGTAGATTTGTGAAACAAGCAAATAGAACATCTAGGAATAGAAAAATTAAAGGACAAACACTGAAAACTCAGTGGCTGTGTTTGGCGGCCACACGGACGATGCAGAGAGAAGTTAGTGAAATGGAACACAAGCCCCGCGGGCTGAGCTCGGGTGGGGGGGGGGGGCCCAGAAGCAGGACCCACAGGAGAGAGGGCAGCACGCATGAAGCGTGCAGTGAGAGGGACTTCCAGGGGTCTAAGGCAGTCCCCGGAAGAGCGAGGAAACAAAATTTAAACAAAAGCTGAGAATTTTCCGGAACCATCCCACGGATACAAGACTCCAGGTGAATTCCCAAGAAGGGTAAATCCGCGACCAGACACACCTCGGGGGGAGCTGCAGAAAACCAAAGGGAAGATCTTAAGCGGCCAGAGAGCAGGAGGACGGAGTACCGTCAATGAGCAGCTCCCCACGGGCGGACCGGCTGACGGGCGTCCCCACACCCACACCCGCAGGAGGCCGGGGGCAAGGCCTCTCCATCACCACATGCTGGGAAAAGAGACCCCGGCTACCTCCCTCCCCTGTGAGGACACCCTTCGAAATGGGGCAAAACAGAGAAAAGAGCAAGCGATCCTGTCCCTCGCAGAGCTGTGCCAAGGCAAGTCCCCAGGCAGGAAGCTCCCGGCAGAAGCCAAGTCTGAGACGCAAGAAAGGACAAGGGGGCAGGTGTATGTGGGAGAGTGGACAGGGACGTCCGAGAAAGGGCCGCAAGAGCGCCCAGCGGGCTGAGACAGTGGGAGCGCCCAGCTGCTGCACAGGACTCTGGGGCGGGTGGGGACAAGGCAAGGGGCACCCAGGGTCACGCGTCCCTGCGGTCAAACGGCAGCAGAATAAACCACCCGAAGCCACGTTCTTTCCACTGACGTCTTTTATTAATGAACGAAAGTACAGTACTAACCGAGACAGGGCATGCATCGCAGACAACGGGAGAGCAAGCCACAGAAACTGGGAGTCCGAGGGCCTCATTACGTCTGAGGTAGAGCGAGGTGGTGCCGGGGAGCGGGACGCTGGGGGACGAGCACCGGCCCCACTCGGGACTACGGACCACAGGAGAGCTGGGGCGGTGTGTCGGTCACACGGCGAAAACAGTTTAGAAACATTTCACATCCCCCCCACCCGGTCCACCTCCCCTCTTCGCGGACAGAGCTACGGGCTCCCCTGTCACTGGCTCGCTGGGGTGTCTCCACAGGACACCGTCCTTCCCCTCCCAGGGGCAGGCCCCGCTGTCCTCCCCCGAAAAATAAAGGAGCTTTGTGTTGAAAACGCCAAGGCTGCCGTCCAGGGAGCTGGAGGCCAAGTGCGTTAAGAAAGACCCTTTTTCTCTATAAAAATAGTTTCACTTTATAAAAGGGGGGGATGCTCATCTCAGGTGGGGAAGGATGTTGGTGTGTGAAAAACGTTCCACCGTGGTGGGGCTGGGGTGGACAGGATGGTGGGGGAGGGGTCCTCCGCTCAGGCTCAACTGGGTCGGGTGGAAGAGAGGGTCCCGGTTGGCAGGGACTGGGGAGGACGGGTGTCTAGGGGGGAGGGGAGCTGTGCCCTCGGGGCCCGGGGGTGGGTGGGTGGGCGGGGGCCCCCTGGCCGCGGCCTGCAGGCAGGCGCTCAGTTGAGCAAGGTTCCGTAGAGCTGGGCTTTCGTGAGGCTGTCCTTGCGGCTGAGCCCCGAGCCACCAGTCCGCGGGAAGGCCGGCTGGGGGCTGAGGCGGGCGGCGGGGTGCATCTCCGGGGAGGCCTCCATGGAGCTGGGCTCCAAGGAGTCCCTGGAACTGTGGGGGCTGTGCTCGGGCTCGGGACTGCCGCCCGCCCCGCACAGCTGCACCCCGAGCCTCTCCGCATCCCCCTGGCTGGGCGCATAGCCGGGCAGCGGGTCGGCCGCGCGGCCCGGGCTCAGGCTCAGGTCGCCGCCGGCCCGGAGGAAGCGGGGCTCCGCCAGGTGGCCCTGGGAGAGGTCGTCACCCTCCGAGAAGCTGTCGGCCTTGTAGGTGGCATAGAGGGGGCTGGCGCGGCCCTCGGCCTTCTTGCCCGGGCTGCCCCCACTGCCGTAGTAGCGTTCAGAGAAGCTGCAGGGCGAGGCGCGGCCGGCGGCGGTGGCCGGGTAGGAGTAGGCACCGATGTCCTCCACGCTCAGGGGCCGCCACTGGCCCCGCGCGTCCTCCCCGGGGAGCCGGGCCGTCCCCGGCTTGGCCCGCAGGCTCCACAGGTTTGGGGGCATCAGGGCCTGCTGGGGGCCCGGGGAGGCCGGGAAGCGGAAGGACTCGGCGGGGTACGGCGACATGGTCCGCGCAAACCCCGGGGCCACCTCAGCCTCCAGTGGCGCTGCCACGCTGGCCGTGGCCTTGGCGAAGCGCGGGCTGCCCTCGTAGGCGGCGGCCGGCGGCTTGCGGTCGAAGAGCTCGTCGCGGCTGTTCAGGTAGATGGCCTGCTGCGAGGCGGTGAGCGTGCTGGCCTGGGCGTGCTCCTTCTCCTCCGACGTGGCGCTGAAGCTGGAGTAGGAGCTGGACGTGGGCAGCGAGCCCGCGTAGCCCGGGAAGGCCTCGTGCCGGAAGCCCGCGGGGAAGGCGGCCGCCTCGGCCTCCTCCTCCTCCTCGGCCGCGCTGTCGGTGGAGTTCTGGGCCCGCAGGAAGCCCACGTCGGTCACGGGCGCGTCCACGCTGGGCCGCCGGGTGCGCCGCCGCTCCTCGGGGCAGTAGAGGGCCGTGTCGCTGCAGTAGATGTCCCCCTTGTAGGGGGGCCGCGGGCCCGGCTTCTCCCCGCCATCCCGGAAGGCCAGGTCGCGGGCCGAGGCGTCAGACAGGCGGGAGGACAGGCTGGCGGGGTCGGGCTTCTCCAGCACCTTGGCGATGACGCAGGTGGGGACGCTGTCGGCGTAGGCGGGGTGGCAGAGTGGGGAGGGCAGCCCGCAGCCGTGCTTCTCCAGGTGCAGGCTCACACGTTCCTGGAAGTCGGAGGGCAGCTGGAACGGGTCAGGGGGGAGGAGGGGAGGGCGGGGATGGGGGGGGTGGTGGGCAGTCAGCCCGGCACCTGCAGCCGTGACCCTGAGCAACAGGCGTGCAGACCAAGAGGGACCCGCCCAGGGCCTCTCAAATTGCCCCGGCTAGAGCCAGGGCCCAGGACTCTGCATTTCACAAGCTCCTGAGCCTCGCCCAAGGAGCACCCCCCTCCACTTGCCCAGGCCACACGAACTGGGCTCCAGCGTGCCTGGAGGGCGGACCCAGGGTCTGACGCGGGCCCTTCTCGGGGCTACAGCCCCCCTCATCTCCTTCCACTGAGGGGCTGGCTCTCCCAGCCCCAAGGTCTGTCGGGGGCACCCCTGCCGGGTCATGAGGCCTCTGCCAGACTCAGAAACAGATGCAACACAGATTGAGGGCCAGGGCCAGGTGCCCAGCGGTTTCTGCACGAGCACCTGGTGCCGTGTAGGGACGTCCTGCTACTGTTTGATCTATTTTGTGAGTGTCTTAGGCATGGCCAGGCCCAGGGAGGAGGGGACATGGACCGAGGCCTGGGTGAGGGCAGCAATGCGGAGGTGGGGGCGGCCTGGCAGGGGTGAGGGGCCACGGGCCAACTTGGCTTGGGGCATCAGGGAGCCCTGTGGCCTCGGCTGAGCCACTGCACTGTGAAGCCAGCTTTCTCGCCTCTGCAAGTGGGCACCGGAATTGTGCCCAAACCGAACCACGGGGTTTCTGTGAGGCTCACACAGGACCCCTCTGCCCCCATCAGCGCTCAGCGGACAGGGGTCTCGGAGCAGGGACAATGAGCAGCCCCCAGAGGAAAGCCACGGGAACGGGCAGGCTGTCCCGACTGGGGGCGGGCGGGCAGCCCGCCCCTCCTCCGGATCGAGAAAGGCCAGGATACCTGCAGGGGTGAGGAGGGACGGGGGAGCTCAGGCTCACCCGGCGCCTGCCCTCATCAAGGGCGAGAAGTGGCCTTGGGGTGGGACCTGTAGGAAAGGAGCCCGAAGCAGTCCTGGGGGCGGGGGTGGCCTAGCTGGGGCGGGGCTCACGTTACCTCGGACACCTTATGGACCCTGCCGTACGTCTGGCTGCACTGCAGCAGCTGGGCCGCTAGATTGCAGTCCTTCCTATAGAGCTCCTACAAGACAAGAGAAGGCGTTCGGTGCAGGTTCGCCCCTTGCCGAGCTCCCTGCCGCCCGGCGCCTGGCGGCCAACACGGAGACCAGGTGGGGGGGGTGCCGGCTGGGCAGCTGTCAGGACGGGGACCCTCTCTGGGACTCACGCCCTCGCCTGCAGAATGGGGGCCTCGGTTCTGACCTGGAGCTGCCGCCGCCCCGGATGGGAGCCTCCCACAAGGGGTGGGGGGGGGGCAGTGGTGGAGGAAGGGCCTCCATTGGCCCCTGAGCTCTCAGGGGGCTCCCTGTTCCCCCACCGCGTGGAGAGTGCCAGCGTGGAATGATAAGGAATGTGCCTGCGGCCCCTGGCTCCCCATGTGTCAGACTTGCTCTACGCCCCACCCACCCCCATCCTTAAAGTGTGGCCTGCTTCCAGGGGTGGCTGCAGGGCCAGGCGAGGGTCAGGGCATGCTGGGGCAGAGGGCCTGTGCGACCCAGGGTCCGGGCAGGGACCGGCTCAGCCTCCTGAGCTGAAAACAGATGCAAACAGTAGGACTCGAGGGGATTTGGTTTCATCTTTGGTAAATCTCTGTTGCATGTGCCTGTGGTTGGGTCTCTCACTGCCGCCGCCCCCCCCCCCCCCCCGCCCCAGGGACCCTCCGCAGGGAGGGCTCCGACAGTGAGGGGTCTGGGGTCCACCGACGGGCCCTCAGATCCGCCAGCTCCCACAGTCTCCGCTCAGCCGGGAACAGGTGCCCTGCCGCTCAGACAAGTTGCCCAACCCCCACCCCGTTCCTGGAGGTTCCCCCGCCTCCACCTCTGTGCCGAGGCTTGCGTCCCCAACTTGGCCCGCAAAGTGGAGAGGACCTGGGTCCCCAGACTCCTCAACGTCTCCTTGAGGGGCACAATTGGCTGAGAGCTGAGGTCCCTGGCCTCAGAGGGCTGTGAGCGCTGCCCGGCTGGCCAGATCTGCCTCCGCATCACTGTGCTGGGCCGCTGGGCCTCCACTCTCCTCATCTGCCTGCACTCCTGGACGATCTCACCCCACCTGTGGCTTTGAGCCGCAGGCATATGCTGATCTCTGCCCTAAACTCCAGACCCCGCCATCTGGCTGCCTCTCGGGCAGGCCCTTCAGCCGTCCAGGGCCGCCTCCTTCCCCTGCTCAAGAACCTTCAGTGGCTCCCTACTTCATTCAGAATAAAACCCAGACTCCTAGAGGAGCCTCACACTGTGGCCTCCTGTTCACTCTCTGACCTCAGACCCTGGGCCCCTGCCTGTGTCCGGGGGCCCCATCTACTGTTCCTGCGGGCCCACCTCTGCCACTCCGGTTCTTCCTGCCAGGTGCCCGTGGCCCGCTCTCTGGCCTCTTTCGGGTGTTGACGTAGCAGCCCCTTCCAGAAGCACCCTGACTCCCTAGCACTGTCACCTACGTGACTTTTCTCTGCGGCATTTAGCACTTTTACCAACCGCATGGCTTGCGTATCTGTCTTATTTACCGCCTTCCCCACTCAGGGGTAAACTCCATGCGGGCAGGGAGTTTTTTTGGCCCGTGTCATTCACACCATGTTCTCGGAGCCTAGGAGGGCCTGGCAAGAAGCAGACACTCATCAGGGAATGTGTGGTCAGCTGTCAGGCGTCCCTGGAGCATGGCTGGGCCCATCCCAGGGGGCCCGCGCAATCAGGGCGGCCACATGGCTCTGATGCCCACCGGGGCCGGCCGGGGCAGGAGTCCTAAGTGAGCATGCCCCAAACTTGGGGTCAGGCAGCGCCGCCTCGAATGGGATACTATGGCCCAGGGGTCGCTACCACAAGCCCGGTTTCCTTCCCGCGGAGGAGGGTCTTCCTGGATACCCTCCAGGCAGTGGATGTCTGGCGAGGCAGCCCGTCCTTCCCCCACCGCCCAGGCACTCCTTCCACCGCCCCTGCGCCAGCCCCTCAAGCCTGGAGGCCACAGCACCGGGGCCTGGGCCCCCAGAGTCACGGTGGCCCGACACTCACATTGTCCTCCGACAGCTTGTCGATGGTCACCTTGGCCTCCAGCAGGTGGCTGTTGAGGGCAACAATCTCGTGGCTCAGCGCTCGCTTCTCTTCCTCATAGTGCTGGCCCTGGGGCGAGCGGAGGGTGGGGGAAGGAGCCGGTCGGTGGCCAGCCAAGGCCTGAGCCTCAAGCCCCTAGACCTCTCGGGTGCCCTCTTGCAGTAAATAACGATGAGGTGTTTGCAAGGCCAAGGAAGGTGGGGGTAAGAACACAGAGCAGCAGGCTCAAGTCCACCTGCGCTGCCTCACCGACAAGCCAGACGGCCCCGGGCAAGTCACGGCCTCCCCGGGTCTCTTGCTCATCCCGCCAAGGGGACGGCAACGCCCTGCTTCCCAGGAGCCCGTGGGGAGGATGGCTCGCGCTCTGCACAGAGCCTGGCCCCCGTCCCTGCCCTCCTCTCCTCGAACCCATCCAGTTTCAGCCTCCAACTGAGGCTCAGAAGGGCAAGGGCCCTTGTCCCGGGCCCCGAGGAGGGCTGGCCCAGCCTCCAGGCCTGCCCGTCTCCACTCTGCCGGCAGTCTACGACAGGCAGGTGCTCAACGCCCATTTGTGACTTTCAGAAAGAAAACAAGCTCGTGACCAGACTAGAAAGAGAGGAAGCTCCTATCTGAGGGAGGGGAGATACCAGAACTGGGCTGGCCCCTCCCTGACGCCGGCCCCGCCAGACCCGGAGGCCTCCACCACCGTCCCAGCTCCTAACGGATCTCGACAGCCAGATCAACATACAGAAGCTGCAGCACTTCGGGGGGCTGCCTGCGGTGGCTGTGAGTGTTTCCAGGAGGGTCTCTGCCCGTGCTGGGGCCAGACACTGTCTCATTTATTCCTCGCAGGAAGACGGGGCGTCCCCATGAGGGTACAGTCGGGCTCCAACATCCTTCTGCTCCCCCAGGTCTGGGCCTCCGGGCTGACCCTTAAAGCAGGGTCAACATCCACGGCGCACGTCCTCCGTCCCACAGCCCTACTTCACACCTCCGGGTCGGGTACTTGCAATGTGCCGTGAAGGCTCAGGGGGCAGCTGGGAACCCCGTGACTTGCTAGTCCTGAGAGCACCTCCCCCCCGTCCGCCCCCATTCACTGCGGAGAGGGGCGCGACCGACCCAGCCCCCGCGGTGGGGAGGGGCAGGCCAGGAAACCAGGCCTGTGACCCAGCTCCCGCACACGCAAGGGCACAGGCAGCTAGGCCGGTGGGCACACCACCAGGGCTCCGGGATGGGAGTGCGGGGGTGGCGGCCTCACCATGCGGTACAGCTTGTCCTCTAGCTCCTGGTTGATCCGCTGCAGCGCCATGTAATTGCTCTGAATCCTGGAACAGGAGACAGTGGGGTCACCGCGGTGCCAGGCCTGACTCTCCCGTGACCCCCTTACAGCCACACAGCCTGCTGAGCAGGGCCGGGCTGGACGCGGGCCCCCGGAGCCCACCCACTGGTCCCACCCTGGGCTACTCGCTCCTCTCCACGCAGCAAAAGGCATCTGATTAGAGCTAGCTTGTAGAGGCCTTTCCTGGGCCAGGGTCAAGGACCCCCTGCAGATGAGAAGGGAAGGCCTGTACTCACAAGTGACTTTGTCCGGTCCTTGCTCGGAGCCAGTACTCACATTTAAACACGATTCTTGCAAGCCTGGCTAAGGGATTTACATTCAACAGCAGGTTAGCAGGGAAGAGGCTGACGGCTGGCCACTCCATGGGCCCTAGACGGAGCGCTAGAGACACACGGTGGCTAAAACACGGCTCCCCCTGGAGGACGCGGAGGGCAGAAGCCGCTGCTGGGTGGGAATCAGGGCTCCGTGTGTTCCCTACTGCCACTCAACGCAACGGTCCCTAAACACTGGTTCACGTCCTCTTCCTGTCAGAGACCCAGGGGATGGTGGCCAGGGCCCCGGTGGGCCAGGAGGGGTCTGGAGATGGCTGCGTGTGCCATGCGGCTGCCCCACCGAGAATACATGAGAAGGAATGAACAGAGGATGAAGGGGCGCCTGGGAAGGGCCTGTCCTGGCAGTAGCTAGACCCAGGGTCACGTCCCGCCTGACTCGGCTGCGCTGGGCACGACGCGGGACTGAGCCTCGGCCTCCACATCTGCGAACGGGGTCCGCGGCTCAGGAGGGGGCGGGGCTCCTCTGGCGGCCGATCCCGGGGCCCCGCCCCGCGCGCCCGGCCCCGCCCCCCGTACCTGCGCAGCTTCTCCGTGACCTTCTCGAGCTCTTCCTGCGCGCGCCGCAGCTCGATCTCCAGGTAGTGGCGCGTGGAGTCGAACTCGGTCTCGAGCTTCTCGAGCTTGTGCGTGGTGTAGGACAGCCGCTTGCGCAGCTCGCCCTTCTGCTCCTGCAGCGCGCTGCAACGACACGCGGCGGCGGGCCGGGCCGCGGCGCTGAGCGCGGGAAACGGAGCCCGAGCGGGCCAGCCGCGGCGCCGTGGGGGCGCGCCGTGCGCGCCCGGCCGCTTAACACACGCGAGTGCGCGCGCAGGCGCGCGCGCACGCCTCGGACCCTTCCCCAGGCGGCAGGCGGCCCCTCGGGGGCGGCCAGAGACGCGGTCTGGCCCTCGGCCGCAAGTAAGTAAATCCCTGGCGCAGTCACCCTGGAGGAGAGACGCAGGCCCCCGAACCTGGAGAGTGTTTGGGGCGGCTAAAGGACGCTGGTTTGAGGAGCGCTCACCGGGCCCCCGAGGCTCTCTGACTCCGAGCCGACCCCTGGACGGCGCAGCTTGCAAGGTCTCTCCCCCCCCACCCCGCTTCTGCGCCTCCACAGCGCCGGGTGGGGAAGCTCTGAGGTCCCGCGGCGGAAGTGCCACCCGTAGACCGGGCCTCCCTACCCCAAATTGGCTGTGTGACCTCTAGGCCTGGGAGAGGATGGGGCCGTGAGCCCCGTGCCCAGGCAGCCTCCGCCACAGTGGCCAGCTAGCTGCACACGGCGGCGGACAGTCTGCAAAGCCCTGGCCTGCCCCAGGTCCCCCTTCCTCCGGGAAGCCTCCCAGAGCCTCGGCCCCAGCTCTTGAGGCTCTATTTTCTCCACAGACTTCGTGGGCTCCCCCAGGACGCCAGGACGCTGAGCCCCCAGCCCCAGGAAACGGAGACGCGGGAGGATCGCCCACGGACCGCAGGCCGTCCACTCTACAGTTGGGCAAAAGGCAGGAGGGGGAAGTGTGGGGCGTGGCCGTGAGCTCCACGGGGGCAGGGGCCACACCCTCCTGTGGGCAGCCTCCCAGCTCCAGAGCCGGTAGGTACTGCTGAACACACGCCGACCTGGTGCACGCTTCCCTTTACAGGCTGGGCACACGGATGCGGGCAGCTGGGGAAAAGGCCCCAGCCTTAATAGTGGGGCCAAGAGGGCTGCTTTCCTGCAGGCAAAGGGGCTGCGGGGGGCGGGGTGCGTTGTGCTGGGAGTCCCCCACCGGCCGAGCTGGGACCCCAGCGCTGTTCGGTGCTCTGGGCATGCGCTTTCCCCTGTCACCCCCTTGGACTTCAGTGACAAGGAAGCAGCCCGTAGAGGGGCAGGCCCGCCTGGCATCACGGCATGGGTGGGGGTCTGCGGGCACACAGACTTGCTGCTGGTCCCCGCCCCCCAGGCTGCCCGCTATCCTTCCGTTCAGGCCTCAGCTGCCCCCTGGAAAGAGGGGACTGCCCCCATCTTAAATTCTGCCCAGAGAGGTGCCCAGGTCTGAGGCGGGTGCCGAGCGGGCCCACGGTTTGCCCGGGAAGAGCGGTGCCCGCTCCAGGCCGCTGCGCAGGCCTGGGAGGGAGTCCCCGGACGTCACCCTGGGAACCTGGACTGTGCCCGGGCTTGGGAACTCTGACACTGCCCGGGTGTGCGGTGGAACCTCGGGCAAGAGCCTGTGTTCTCCCGACCTCTGAGACCCACATCGGAGTGAGGGGAAGTGGGGGCAGGCGGGAGGCTTCCTCCTTCAGCCTCGGGGCCCCGTGTACGAAGCCATTCATGTTACCACAGGCGCACGCCCAGCAAATCTTGATGAAACGTTCCTGGATCCCTGCCCAGGTCGAATTCTTTAAATAAATAAAAATAAAGAGTTGCCTATGTGTTGAGAACCTCAGTGGAGGGTGGGGCAGGCCCTCACAGGGGTCAATCTCTAGGGAGGCTGCAGACAGTCAGTCAAGGAGAGAGCCCTGAGCTCAGCACAGTGCCCACGGCTGCCCACGCAAGTCTAGCCACCTCCTCCAGGCAGCACGCCTGCCTGCACCACCCCGAGCACCCTGCAGCTACAGATCCCAGATTGTCCTCAACCCCTGCCCCAGCCTTTCTCCCCAGTGGGGTGGCGGGCTCTCTGGGGACTCTCCCATGTCATCCGGGCCCCCTGCAGGCACAGTGTCCGGGGAGGGGGTGGGGCAGTAGCCCCTGAAATCAGCTGTCCTGCGGGGGGACTGCCGATCTGCCCACAGCCCTCTGTCACAGGGTACAGGTGGGGTCTGCACCCTCGGGAAGAGGTGGGAGCATCGCCATCCACTCTTGTGTCCACCTCAGTGGCCACCCGTCCCCGCCACCCAGAGCCAGTGACCGTCCCTCCCTCGCCGTGGCCACCCGCCTGCCGCCACAGCACGAACCCTGCCGTCACGCAGATTGCCCACTCCTGATGTGACCCAGCCACACGTGCACCTCTACCAGACCCTCTTTCCTTCCCCCTCCGGCCCCGCCCCGCCCTGCTCCTGGCCCCTCAAAGCAGCGAGTAGGACAAACGTCCCCACCCCGCAGAGCCTACGGTCTGGAGGGAGGCACACAGTGAACACGGAACAGGTTCCTCGACGAGGCGAGCGCATGACAGGGCTGTGACGTGGGTCCCCGCCCAAGGCCTCCCCCTCAGCAGACAAGCCCTTCACCGAGCTGGCCTGCTCGAGCCTCGCCTCCCCCTTGGCCCCCGCTGGCCTTCCGGACATGCTGGGGCGGCTCCGTCCCACCGACCCTCACCCGTCCCTGAGCCCTACCCTGGCCAAGCCCGGGTCCCCCAGCGCCCCGGCCCCTGGCTCCCGCCCCTCCTTGCCCCCGGACACACCTCTGACCCCGAAGTCACAGCAGACCCGGCTGTGCCCAGACCCGCCACCGGAGCCACCACGCCTCCCCCATCTCTGCCACTCTGGCTCTGTTGAGTCTGCAGACAACTTGGCTTTGCCCGGGGCCGACGGTCAGGGCACGGGTCGGCACCCAGCCCCTCCCTGCACCTCTCGGGCTGAATTTCCTCCCTGCCAGGCCACACGGGGGGCTCCCCCGCCCCCCGCATCCAGCCGTCCACCGGCCTCTCCGCCCCGTGGCCCACCTCACCCACAGTGCGTTCAGTGCTGACCCTCCCTGCCCTCCGTGTTCCCCACCCCCAAGAAGGGCATAGCCACCCTCAGTCCCCAGTCAGACTCCGAGAAGCCACAGTGACCCCTCCTTGCCCCTTGCCCCTCACAGCTGGTCACCCAAGTCCCGGTGATCAGCTACTCAGAAGCTTTGGACATGTCCCCTCCTCAGCCTGGTCCAGAAAGGTGCCGGGCCGGGCGTCCCGGGTCTGCGGCCACCTGGGTGGTACCACTGCCTTCCCCTCCCAGGACACGGACCCCAGCCCTGCCTGCCCTCCGCCTCAGTCTCCGTGGCTGTAAAACAGGGATGTGTGCACCCACCCAGGGGGCGCTCGGGCTGTCCCTGTGGTCCGTGCGCTACCCCGGGTCATCAGATGCCAGAGGCGAGTACCATGTGGGTGCGCGGCTTCCAGGCTACTGGGAATCTGGGGGGTTGCTTCGGGCCCTGGGGTTCAGTAGCCCCTGCTTCCCCCTGAGCACGAAGCTGGCTTAGGGGGCCCTGGCATCTGGAAGCAGCCCCGTAGCAGGTGCGCAGGGAGGGTGTGGAAGTCCTTTGTGATCAGACCAGCCAGTGCCATGCCCCCCGGGGAAGGGCCACCCCTCCCAGGTTGGGAGCTCAGGAAACCCTACTCAGACTGGAGCCTGGCGAGGCCCCCTCGCTTTGACCTGCAAGTTGGTGAATTAAATCAGGACGTGGGGGTGTGGGTGGCTGAGTGGGGGGGCTCCTGCTTCCTCCCGGCCCACGGGAAGCCCCTGGGAGTGCTTTCTGGCCTCTCAGGGAGGAATGACGGGGGTGCTCGGGGCAGGCCTCCTCCGCGGCGCAGTCCCGGCCTGCCTTCCACCAGGAGCCCTCCTGGACCCTCGGGGGAGACTTGAGCCCAAGGACAGAGCCCTTGGCTGGGGCAGGGGGTGTGGGGTGGGGGGGCGTCGAGGGCCTCGCCTCTGAGATGGGTGGCACGGGGTGGTGTGGTGAGGATGTGCGCGTTCCCCTTCTGTCTCGGGCGGGTGGACGCAGACACGGGAGGGACGTCTGGGGACAGACGCAGAGACACCAAGGAACCGGGGAGACAACAGGTATGTTACCTGTCCCAGAGCGAGGGCGAGGACCTGGCCAGTCGGCCCTGCAGGATGCGGGGCTGCCCGAGGCACGAGGGCACCCAGGGGCTGCGCAGCCTGTAGGCGAAGAGGACAGAGCCGCTCAGCGCAGGGGCGGGGGCCACGCCAGGCCCACCGTGGGCACAGACACAGAGAGATGTGGAGCCCGCCCCCGCCCACACCGGACAGGAACGCTCCTTATTGGCAGCAAGGTGTCAGGGCAGGGGTGCGGGAACCAGCGTGGGGTGCCCAGCCCGCGTAACTGCCGGCCCCTGGGCTGCCTGAGCTCGGCGGTGGCACCGTGTGCCGCCAGTGGCAGGGTCCCCGTCTGCAAGCCTGCCTCAAGGTCTCAGCTTCAGAGGAGAGTCGTGGGGGGGGGCAGGGGCCCTACCGCTCTGGGCTCCCATCTGGCAGGACCCACTGGTTGGAGACCCTAGGAGGCAAGGACAGGGGAGGGACAGTGTGATGCCCGTCGCTGCTGGGACACTGCGATGGGCTCGTGTGTGGACAGGGGAGGCGCATCTCAGAGGCTGAGGGACCCGGCAGAAGTCAGGGGTCCAGGGCAGGGCCCACCTCACCCTCCCTGGGACCCCTTGTCACCCCACTCTGCCCGTGGCCTGTCTCGATCTGGCAGTGGGGGGACTGGAGGGGAACAGAATCCGCTGGGTGGGTGTGAGGGGGGGGGACCCAGGTCTGCCTGGCCCTGCCGGGGTAGCACCCGGCTGGGGGCCACTGGAGAGTCATCAGAGCCCCCGCCAAGGCTGCTTGGGAGCCTCCTCCCAGTGCAGTCTCTCCAGGGACGCCCTGGTGGCCTTGCGGGCCCCAGAGCCAAAGCGGACATCTGATCATAGGAAGCAGCCCCAGAAATCAGGCTCCAAAAAAATGCTTAGAGACACGGGGGTTAAGAGAATGCGCGGTATAATCCCATTTAAAGATATCTGTATACCGATATCCACAGAAAGCAAGGTAGGGAAAGACATGTTAACGGTGTTACAGGTGGGTGGTGGGATTCTGGGTAATTTGAAAATTTTCTTCTATATTTTCCCAGATTTGTCACCTTTCCTATGGTGAGGATGAAAAAGCAGAAAAGAATTTACTAAGGATAAAATTTTGCAAACCGCCACCCCCCCCCCCCCCGGACAAAGGGTTTGCGGGGCGGACTTGATGGGCAGAGGTGGACGCGTGGGGGGAAGCTCGCGGCCCTGGGCTGTGCTCTGCGCACCGGTCACCGCTTCCGTGAGCCCCCGTTTCCTCATCTGTAAGATGGGCTGCCCTTGGCCCCGTCTCCTGAGCTGCGGAGGAGGGGCGGCGGGCAGGGCACTGGCTTGGTCTCTGGGTGGACGGGACCCTGAAATTCCAGCCCCAGCCTCTGCCCTTCGCCAACGACCCCCATGCTGCTGAGTGAGCAGAGCAGGGCAGGACGGGCCAGCGCCCCGGGGAGCATCCAGAAACCGCCGGTCTGCGGTTGGGAAAATGGGAGTCCAGAGAGGCTAAGCAGGTCTCCCAAGACGGCACAGCCAGTCTGGGCCGTGGGTGAGATAAACAGCCCCCGCTGGCCTCTCCTGGGGCCGCCACCCCTCCTGGGCACCCGTGCGAAAGAACAGCAGTGGGGAGCGGGGCGCCGGGCCTGCGGCAGGATGGCCGTCCCTGCCCACGGGCCTGCCAAGGAGAGACGGCGGAAGAGGCCATTAGCTGTCTCCCACTCGGCTCTCCTGGCCGGCCGCCGGCTGTCAACAGGGCCAGTGACTGCCCCCGGCGGGAGCCCGCACGGCAGAGCCTCGGCCCCAGGGATGACCAGACACGGTGTCACCCCTAGCTGGGCACACGAGGCCACCTTCCCAGCCTCGCTGGCAGAAGGACCTGGTGACCGCCGGGCCGACAGACGGACAGAGAGTTGGCCCCGGCTGCCGGAGCCGACCTGCCTTGCCGATCCTGGGCTCCCCTCGGGGCTGCGGGTGTCCTCACGTGGGGTACAGCTGCCCCTGCCCCTGTGTGTCTCTCAAGACGAGATGGGCCTGGGGGGCAGCCTGGACCCTGGGCGGGGGCAGCTGGGAAGGGCAGGACGTTAGCGATGGCTGCCTGCTCCCCCAGGGAGCGGCTGGCTCGGGGAGCCGGTGGCGAAGGGTGGCCGGGCCAGCTTTGCCCGCCTCGTCTCAGTCTGGGAGGGACGCCGCCATCACCCCCACCGCACAGATGCGGATGGCTGCGGGCACCCGTGTCTGCCTCTGACCTGGTCCAGGGTGGAGGGAGGGGGAGGAAGGGGGCCAGGGCCGTGCCTGGCCACACCTGAGCCCCGCACACCAGGCCCTTCCTCCTCTCCATTCCTGTCGGATTCCCCCAGATGTGGCCACCCTCACGCCTACAGTCCCGGCAGCTGTCCCCGGGAACGTCCTTGCTTCCCTTCCCTGAGTCCCCAGATCCCCTTCATTTTCTTGTGGGGCTCTGTTCAGATGCCGCCTCTGCTGGGAAGCCTCTCTTGGTTCCTTCTCCATGAAGCTTCCCTCTCTTTCCTCGCCCGTCCCCGTCAGGCTCAGATTGCCCCTCCTCTATCACTCAGGGCCGCCTGGGGCCCCAGCCCGGGCTCTTTGCCCTCTCTGTTCCCCTTGATGTCTATGGCACCGTGGGCCGCGTTGGGCATGGGGGGAGGGG